CCGTTCTCTCCTAGCCTGTAAGATTTCTGCTGAGTAATCCACTGAAAGCCTGGTAGGGGTTCTTTTGTTGGTTATTTTCTTCTGCCTTGCTGTCCTTAATATTTTTTCTTTGTCATTGACTTTTGCCACTTTTAATAGAATATGCCTTGAAGAAGGTGTTTTTGCAGTGATGTAATTAGGAGTTCTATTGGCTTCATGTACCTGTAAGTCCAGTTTCTTCCCTAGGTTTGGGAAGTTCTCAGCTATTATTTCTTTGAACAAGCTCTCTGCTCCTTTCCCCCACTCTTCTCCCTCTGAAAAACCTATAATCCTTATGTTGATTTTCCTAATTGAGTCAGATATTTCTCAAAGAATTTCTTCATTTTTTTTAAAATCTTAGTTCTTTCTCCTACTCTACCTGAAGCATTTCTAGATTTCTATCTTCTAGGTCACTTATTCTCTCCTCCACAAGGTCAGCTCTATTTTTTATGGCTTCCAAATTATTTTTTATCCCATTAATTATGTTCTTCATATCCATAATTTCTGTATATTTTTTTAAGGGTTTCAATGTCTTTAGTCACGTATTCCTTCTGCTCATTATTTTTATTCCTGAGCTCATTGAACTGTGTCTCAGTTTTCTTGTAACTCATTGAGTTCCTTTATGACAACTATTTTGAATTCTTTGTCATTTAGATTTGTAAATTTCTGTGACTTCAGGATTGATTTCTGGAGACCTGTCATTTTGCCTCTGCTCTGAAGTGTTAGTTTAGTTCTTCATGGTGTTTGATTAATTGATCCTTTGCCAGCTCATCTGTGGCAGTATTAGGTTGTAGATTCTACCTGCCACCGCTAGGAGGTGCAGGAGCTGTGTTTTCTGATCCCACCCCCCTTGCTGGAAGTTGTGCCAGTAGGGCTGCTCTGCATTTGCACAGCCTGGCCACAGCTGCTTGGTGGGTCATGCGTGCATGCGCACACAGGGCCTCTGTCTTCTGCTGGTGGGTTGCTCTTGTGCGGCTGGGATTGCTGCACTCATCAGGGGCCTGGCTGAGCTGCTGTACTAGGTGGGAGGGGAGAGGCGCTTTCTTCCACATGTGTGCTGACTCTGCACTTGCGGGCGGTTCAGCTGACCTGCTGGCTTGGTAGGCGGGGCTCCTTTGCAGGGGCTGAGCCACCGGCATTCGGTGGGGAGCATTCCCACGGTCAGGGGCACTGTGGCCTGGTGGGTACTCCCGCAGGCCAGGCCATCTCTCCAAAAGCATTCACGTGTAGGCTGGGCTGCCCCCGCCTCTTCTTACAGTCACACCGGCTGCTGTGTGAGGACCCGCAAAATGGATTGCTGTCACCAGGGATGCGGAGGGGTCTGCTCACCTAGTTCCACCACCTCCCAGGGATCCAGTCTACCCACCTTCAGATGTGTGGCTGCGTGGATCTCTCAGGCGTCCTATTGTGCTGTGAAGGGAATCCTCAGTTGGTTAATGAGTGTCCTTTTAGTTGTAACTTAGAGGGGAGAGACAAAGGGAACAACTCACTCTGCCATGATGCTGACATCACTCTGGATTATCATTTTAAAATAAATAGAATATTGGATTCAAAGACTTGAAATACAAAACTCTAAAGAAATTGAATGTGAAATAGACCTAATACTATAACTCTACTGACCATAATTTCAACTCCATTTGATGACCCAAAACATTTTATTAATTTGTAGTGTCTGAGTTATGCTGTTATGAACATCAGTTATAATTCAATACAGCAAATATATGTTGAGGAACTGTTCTCTGCCTAGCACTGGACAGACCTGTGGAAGGTAGGAAACTAGGAGGAGACCATCTGACCATCAAAGTGTTTTCAGCCTTGTCACAAAATAAGGCAGACGCCTATGAATTGGATAGAAAACAAAATGAAGGTGTTTAAAAAGTATGCTGTTCAATGACTGTGTGTTCCTGCTGTTGTAAAATTGTCAAAAGCAATGATGTGGATGGAGAGATTAGAGAGCCTTGACTGGTCAGTGAGGGCTTTATGGAGAGAGTACAACTTGCAGCTGGAAGGGCTGGTATGTGGAGAGAAATGGCGTGCAGCAAGTCTCTGACCTGGAGATGAGTATGGGGTTTGGAGGGACAGTGTGGAGACATGAGATTGTTCAGCAGGAGCCCAGCAGTCCCATTGCCAGCAGCAGAGTGGGCCTGAGTAGCAGGAACAGTTTATAGGCAACAGGAAATAGCTGAGTGGGATTCTGACTTGAGGAAAAGTATGCTTTAAGCATTTATGTTGCTCTATACGTTCGTTAAGAGCATGGGAAATTGGGCTAAAGCTGAGGTTATAGTTTTCTTAAAATGGACCATTTCCTTTTTTTTTTTTTAACTAAAACTAGCCACCCCTGCCCCTTTCCATTTCCATAAATGTAATCTCTTTAACAATATTAGCTGATTTTCTTGATATTTTCCTGATACCTCTACGTAACATGCTGTATTGCTACTGCTTGATTTGATTTAGGCATTATCTGTTAACCTCCTACTGTAAAAGAGGAAGATTTATCTATTTTTTGTCTCTGCTCCTATCACACATACACACCCTTCTAATTCTCCACCCTCAACATAGCTTGATTATAATTTTAGTTATGCCAATATTTAGTATTTGCCTAACAAGACTATATAAATACTATTCACAATTACACCGTGTTATAAACTATGATTTTTTTCCCTTTCTTGCACAACTTTTTATTTTCCCTGGAATTAATAATCATCTGCTTAGTGTTCTATGTACATGTCACTATCACTGAATTTTTGCTTGGTTTTCTATGTCTTTATCACTGTGTTAATTCCAGTCTCAAACTGCCCTCTTATCAGTTTCACCTTCCTGAAGAACTCTGCTCTGTTGTCTTCTCATGCGCAGCAGCTCACCTTCCTGCTTTCCAAGGGTGGCATTCAGCTCCCATCCTGGGATCTGCCCTTGCCACCATCCTGGCGAGTCTCTTCACTTCTCTTCTGTGTCAAATCTCATATACTAAATCTCATGTCTTCCTTCCTAGCTTGCTCCCTCTTCTTGGTGTAACATATTCTCCAGTACCTTTTTAGCAAAGGTGCCTAAGAGGTAAAATATTTTGAGACCTCAAATGCATGAACATCTTTTTATCTTTCCCACACTCTTAATGATAGTTTGGCTTGCTGTTATTTCTAGGTTTGAATGCATTTTCCTTCAGTATTTTGAAGGCATTGCTCCATTATCTTCTTTTTTTTTTTTTATTATTTTTTTAAATTTATTTTTCCCCCAAAGCCCCAGTAGATAGTTGTATGTCATAGCCGCACATCCTTCTAGTTGCTGTATGTGGGACGCGGCCTCAGCATGGCCAGAGAAGCGGTGCGTGGGTGCGCGCCCGGGATCTGAACCCCCAGTAGCAGAGCGCGCGCACTTAACCGCTAAGCCACGGGGCCGGCCCATCCGTTATCTTCTAATTTCCAGTGTTGTTATTGAGAAGTCTGAAGCCATTTTAATTCCTGAATCTTGTATGTGACCCATTCTTTTATTTTTCCCCTCTTCTTTTTGAAGGTCAGTAGAATCTCCTTTGTCCCCAGTGTTCTGATTTCAATGTTTTGCCTTTGGATGGGTCTATTTACATCCATTGTGGAGGGCTCTTGTTGGATGTTTTCAATCTGGAAACTCAACGTCCTTCAATTCTGGGATATTTTCCTGTAACATTTGATGATTTTCTTCCAACCATATTCTTTTTTCTTCTTGTGAAACTCCTTTCTTAGTGCTTGGATTTCTGGAACTCATTCTTTAATTTTCCTATATTTTCTCTCCTGTTTTCTGTTTGTTTTGTTTTCTGAGTGATTTTCTAACATTTATCTTCCAACTCTTTTATAGAAATTTTTTTTTCTGTAGTCATATTCTTAATTTCCAAGAAGTCTTTTTTATTCTGTCAGTGTTCTTTTTAAAAAGATATCTAGTTCTTTTTTCATGGATGCAATATTTCCTTTTATAGCTCCAAAGATATTAACAATGATCGATTTTTTTCCCCTGAAATTTTCATCTTCCTCTTTTGGTTTTTGTTTCCACTGAGTTGCTTTGTTTATGCTTGTTTATCTGGTCTCTACTTATCACATTAGAGGCTTTCCTGAGATGGCTATTAATCCTGAATAATTTAAATGTTAGTCCAATAAAATGCTGATTGAAAGCTCTGAGAGTGTGGGTGGAGCTTGGCAGCTATGAGTGTTACAAGAATGAGGTCTAGCTGGGCTGTTTTGTTGTGAAACACTCAACATAATTTTCTTTATGTCTTTCCTTCTGGGCTGGTCAGATTTCTTAGAGAAAGTTCCTGCAGGCTTCTGCCTGAAGTCCTAGCTTCCAGCTTTCTGGGAGCCAAATGGAGAAGAGATTTGGGCTTCTTAGCCGCCAGTATGCCTATGTTCACTTAATCCCTCTAATCTCGGTAAAGTCCCCTGACAACTGTGCCTGATATGTCCTCTAATCCAGAAATGCTCTATTCCACACTTTCCAGAGAATAAGCTTCCAGTCCCTGTGAAGGTGGAGGGAGGAGCTATCGCCAGATGGAGATCTAGATGCTTCCTCTAGCTCTCTTCCCCCTTTACCCCACCTCCAGAATTAATTCAGACCATCAATTTATAAGCCTTTTAGGGGATTCTGAATTATAAATCAGGCTGGTTCTTCTCTTTTCTGGCATGGGCTTCAGATTGGTTTTCTTGGATTAGCTGTCATCTATTCAACTTCTAAAATGCTGATACTGTGTTTCCTCTTCATTCTACCCATATTTCAAGAGAGAGCTGGAGTAGAGTCCCTCTGTCACCACAATCTACAGTGGAGCATTTTAGAATAAGACTTTGAGGGTACACATCTGTTTTGTGTCTCTTCCTTATAAAACTAGAATACAGGGGGGAAGTAAACTTTTAACTTTGTGTTATATAATTTGGCTGGATGAAGAATGGACTGAATTAGGATCAGACAAAAGGATGATGGTTTTTATTTGTGTATTTCAAAGTAGATTGATGTGTGTTTTTTTATAGGTTGTGGTTCCAATACCTTCATGGTTAACAAGAACCAGAGAATCTGTCACAGATGATCCTCAGAAATTCTCAATGGAATTGTCTATAATTTATAAGTATTCTCCGTTTAAAACCGAAGCTGAATTGATGAAGCAATTTGATGTGATCTATGGGAAATGTGGTAAGATCATCAAAACTCTGAAATTTTGATGGAAGTATTTGCTTGCAGTGTTATGAAAAACAATATAAATATGTTTTCATATTTTTTCTATTTGTAATATCATGTGGAATCTCCCATGGGGCAGTTGTTCATTTTATCCATATAAGATTTGTCTTAAGAGAATCCAAACATGAATAACTCTTAACTCCCTGACACTGGGAGAAAGGTTTCTACTAGCATGAGCTTGGTGAAACTCAATGAGAAGAGGATGATACAGGCTATTACCACAGCGACTCCACAGTCCCTGCACCAGATAACAAAGTTAGGAGATGCTTATTGCAGCGTCTTAGATTAAATGATTCCAGGTTTATAAGTTGGCAACTTATAAAGTAATGAATCCAGGCTTCTGTGCCAGTCTTTCTCCAGACTTCCACCACTTTTCATATCTAAAAGCAAAAAGAACCCTACTCTAGAGAAAGCTCTGTGCATTCTGCTTTTTGCAACTTCTTGATTTATGTAATGTTTATAGTGAAATTCTTCAAATTTTCTTCTCTAACCTGTGGCATTTTGTTTAAAAGTGGTGTTTTGCATCATCTTTTTCCCTTTCTCATAGAGGTAAAATAGTGGCAGTTAAATAAATATTCATTTTATTAACATATACACAGTATACTTTAAGGACAGTTAATGTGATCTCTTACTTGACTTCTAGTTGTGAAATACTCATATAAATACTAATGAAGGGTGCACTATTTGCTGCATACTTTTCTAAATGCTTTATGAAAATTCATTTACTCCTCAAGACAGCACTGTGTTTTATAAAGGTATCTCATGAATTCCGTTGTACAGATTAGAAAAATTAGATTCAGAGAGATTAGGAGACTTATCCGAGGTCATTGCACTAGTAAATGGTTGATCCAGGATTTAGACACAGGCATTTAGGCTCCCAAGTCCAAATTCTTAGCTATTGTGCTCTTATCCCTTGTGTTTAAGTACTACCAAAAAAAAGTGTAATTGGTTGTTTTTTTAATTTCTCTGACAATCCTGTTTGTCTTCATATCATGATAAACTTTTTAAAGAATTTGGACTTTTTTGTTATCTGTGCTTTAGAGCAGGGGTCAGCAAACTATGGCCCACAGGTCAAATCTGGCCCCGTACCTGTTTTTGAAAATAAAGTTCTATTGAAACACAGCCACACTCATTCATTTATGTATTCCCCATGGCGGCTTTCATGCTACAAGAGTAGAGTTGTGAGTTGTTGTGACAGAGACCATATGGCCTGAAAAACCTGAAATCTTTATTACCTTGCCCTTTACAGAAAAAGTTTGCCAACACCCGTTATAGGGTCTAAAAGCAATACTTCATATTTGTACAAATTTTTAAAACTCCTCATTGTTCTTTTGTGCATTGATTTCAGTTCCACCAATGAGAGCTTTACCTATAATTCAAATTTGGCTCAGGCACCTAACAGTGTTCATTATGCAAATTATGAAAAGAGTGCCAAAGTTTAAGAATCCACATTGAGAGAGTTATAATGAATTGAGTGGTAATAAGAAGCACTATACTGTAGAAACTCAACACTCTTTGGCAAAGAGTAGAATTTGCTATAAAACATATATCTTGGAACTTATCCAAGTACATTATTTACTGAAGTACAAAAGGAAATTTGGTCTATAGCAGGCTTAATTCCACAGATGAGATAATAGCACCATGACTATTATTTAGTGTAGTTAAAATACTGACAAGTCAAACGTCTGTTTTTCACTAGGTACTTTGCTGGTTATTTATAACTTGAAGCTTCTGCTTAGTGGAGAACCGGAGTTGGATGTTAAAACTGACAAGGAAGATATACTGATAGCTGGAGCTCTCGAGGAGTGAGTAATGTGTGCGTTTGACACAGTGTCTCTCAACAATGGCAGTGAGCTGTAGTTAGGAGCCCTACATCCGGGTTCCAGATCTGAGGCCAGTGGGCCTTAGCACTATGGCAATTCATTCTACCCCAGTTACAGATGAAGTAAGTTAGAAAAGACCACTGATTCCCAAACCTGCTGAGCCTCTGAGTAACCTAGGCAGCTTCTTAAGAAGTGTAGGATCTTGTTTCATCTTAGACCTGCTGAGTCAGAATCTCCAGATATCAAGCCTAGAAATCAATATTTTTCATATGTTCTCCAGGTGATTCAGAGGTGCCAGCATGTTTGGGGACCAGTGGAATGTGAGATCTCTATCAGTCTCTAATTCCAAAACTCTTCTGTTATGAATTTTAAAACTGAAAAAAAAACACAGAGTTCATTATTCATTACAGATCGTTAAAAATGGACATCATTGTGGTGTGAAGCAAGAAGAAATATGACTAAATGACCGTTCAGAATGGCCCTATGAACTGCATATTTGCAGTTTATAAATAAATAAACACATTCATTTTTCTTGGCAATTAGGGATCCGTAGGACAAGAATGAGAAAGCACTGAGGGGCAGGGTGAAAATGTGGAGAAATAATGAAATAGTGACTCAGCTTAGGTTTCTCTAAAATAACTTTCTGTATAAAACTTATTAGTTTGAGCCTGCAGTTTCTTAGTGTCAGAACCCTAGAGCTAGAAGGGATTTTAGAGGAATTTAACCCCATCTGATTCATTTTATATACCAGTATTGTCCAGTAGAAATATAATGAGAGCCACAAATATGAACCACATCTTAAATTTTCTAGTAGCCACATTAAGAAAAGTAAAAAAAAAACAAGTGAAATTAATTTTCATAATGTTATTATTTAGTCTGGAATATATAAAATATTATAATTTCAATTTTAATATGAAAAATATTAATAAGGTATTTTACATTCTTTTATTCATACTAAGTCTTTGAAATCCAGTGTGTCTTTTGTACATATAGCCCATACCAGTTTGAACTCTTGCCCAATAGCCACATGAGGCCAGTAGCTGCCATACTGGACAGTACAGTTTTAGACTAAGATATTAAGACCCAAGTACACACATCAGCTTAACAGAGAACTACTTTTTTTTTTTTTTTTTTGCCTTTGAGGTGAAATTTAGAAAGTCCCTTCCACAATTAGAAAATTTAATGTTTGGAAACACACTTTTAGATTATCTTTTCTACTTTTTTCTTTTTTTTTTTTTTTTTAAAGATTTTATTTATTTTTCCCCTGCAAAGCCCCAGCAGATAGTTGTATATCATAGTTGCACATCCTTCTAGTTGCTGTATGTGGGACGCGGCCTCAGCATGGCCGGACAAGCAGTGCATCAGTGCGCGCCCGGGATCCGAACCCAGGCCGCCAGCAGCGGAGCACGCGCATTTAACCACTAAGCCATGGGGCCGGCCCTTACTTTTTTCTGATTTATATATATTTTATCATTTCATTCCAAGGTGGGAAATTTTTAATTTACACAGAAATGGAGGTTTTCTCTTGGAGAAAAAATCTAGCCTGATTAATGTTGTGCAAATGCTGGGAACCCTTTTGCCAACATTCGTAGGCCAGTCCCAGAAAGGAGGCCCAGAATTGTTCCTGGCATCTATCTCCCTTTTTCCTGCTGGCCCTGCCCTTCTGCCTCACAGCGGATTCCAAAGCCAATATCTCATGCTATTTAAAAGCTTTGAGTACAAACTTTCAAACAATTATCTGTCAGAGGGCCTTGGCATTTCACTGCTAGCATCAGGAAACAATACATTGTTAGAGGAATAATTTGACAGCTAGTTCTTTGGGAAGTTGTTCTTACTGTTTCCAGATTGTTTAACGAAGCCGGAAGCTTCCTGAGCCATTTAGACAGTTAATTATAAAATAAAGGAAATGGATCAGACCAAAGACATGTACAATTTCACTTTGGAATATTGACTATGTTGGATTTTTTTGTTTGATTTTTCAGAAAAATATTTCATAGTTTAATCACAAGAAAAGTCTTTTAAAGATAGGGATGGGATTTTGTGAGGAAAGATTATTGTAAAGAGGAGACATAATTTCTGTACCAAGGATGCTATACATTTCATGGCTCCTGATATGAATATCATGGCGGGGCCAAGACGGGGCAGCAATACCACCTCCAGGGGTTAGTAATGCCACTTTAGTTTTCTCCTCTAAAAAGTCAGTGGGTTCTGACATTAACACCCTATTCCTCTTCACTAAGGGACTGGAGAAGCGTTAACTCTTGGGGCTAAAAGAATACTTCTGGTCCAAGATGGATCTTTTCCTGACACCTCTTCCATTTATGACTTCTAATGTTTGAACTTCTAATCAAGTACAGTTTACATAATCTTGATTTCAAGAACAAGTGGTTTGTAACATAACAACTCCTTTACCATTTCTTTTCCTTGTGGTTATTATATCCCCTTAGAACCACTGGGCATGATTCTACATCTGCCCAAAACAAATTTCAAACCTCAGAACTGTGTAATTTTCACCTTTGGTCTTAGATGGTGTGGTCCTGCTGGTTCTGAAAATAATTTAATTTTATACGTAGAAATAGGTAAATTAAAGCTTTCAGGCTTTTGTTTGGCCTCAGAGAAGAGGTTTTCTGGTAGTATTTATTTTCTTCCACTTTGTTTATCATAAAAATCAAAAGTGAAACAATATTTTTAAAAATTTTTAGGAAAAGAATTTACATATCATAATTGATTATTAATTTTTATTATTCCATCCTAGTGTTTCATAAGTGCAATTTCTCATTTTTCTTTTTTCATTTATGATTTGCTTCTAAACTTTATTCAAGTTACTATGTAGTCTTGATAAGTCTCATTTCATAATGATTTCTTTATAAGTGGCTTTATAATAGTCCATTGAATTGATTCATCATAATTTACACAACTATTCTTGCATTTTTGGATACTACCATTGGCCCCAGTGTTTCATATTATTTATGAATAATGTTGAAATAAACATATTTATGCAGATGGATGTTTTATTCTTTTGAATTATTTTCTTAACACAGATTCCCAGGAAGGGAAGTAGTGAGTCAGAGTCTAAACTTTCATATAGTTCTTGTGAATATTTGGCATCAGTTTTAAATTTAGCAGTCCAAACCCTTTATCATTCTGCTTTGGGCTGAGGCTCTAACAGTAGTGATCAGACCATTGGCAGGGCCTTGTTTCCAGATGACAGTAACCTCGTGAAATTTCATTAGGAGTGATGTTCAAGCACACAGGCAGTGGTGGCTTGTGCTTTGGCAATATTGTTCTAAAGACAACCTGTTTTCACTTAAATTTTTAAAAAATGTGCGGATAGGTAACAGTCATCTCAGAATTTCAGAATGCAGGTGAGGCAGAAGTTTGCATTTAATGTGAGCTGTATTAAACTGGGATTTGAATCTGTGAATGTGGTATGTGGAGAGTGCCAGGGAGTCATGCATAGGTCCAGGGGGATGTGCAGAAAGTGGGTTGTATCTGCAGGGGGAGAGTCATGTTGGATTATACGTCATGTTAAACTTAGGCAAAGTTCCCCAAGAGATGACATGAAAAATAACTTTGTAAGAAATCAAAGAAAAATCAAGAGTTTGGGACAAAGGTGGAGGAGAAAGAGCTGAGAATACTGAATATTAAAATAAGAGTGAACTAATAGAAAGCAAGATGTGTCTTCAAGTCTAGCGTAGACAATGTCTGTTTACTAATTTATGATGTGATGATTTTTGAAACTCGAGACCAAGTCCCACATCTCAAACCTTTGTATATTTTTTTCCCCACCAAGTTGGAATTTTTTTCCTTTGAAGTAGTCCATTTGTACAAAACAAAATCTTTAGTTAATTGATTTTCTCCTTCTCACTGGTGGCTGTTAGTAACCTTCAATCACAGTCATACAGATGATTAAAACTGAGTCATTTTTCAAAGGTCCATATTGATTGAGCACAGTAGGACTGAGCAGATGGAAGATGACAGGCCAGTGGAGGGTTTTAAAGTGAGTCAGTGCCCATCATTACCCCACGTGTGGTTAGTATAGATTGGCATCTGCAGAACCTACGGGGTTGTAATTCTGCATTGGCATTCCTTACCCAGAGTTTATGTAGATATCAGGTATGGAATTACAATTCTATAGTTCTGATGTTTTAAATTTCATTCATAGGACATAGAATTCTTTATGTGAATACCAGTATGGAATTATAATTTCATAATTTAGATTTTGAAATTTCTTTTAAAATATGCCACTGACTCCTGGATCTAAGCATTAGTTTTCTTTATTTTCTCCTATACCTCACTCTTCCTTACTGTTTACTTGGTGGTCCAGCCCCTGTCCCAAGGCCATTCATCTTTGGGGCAGAGGGTGGGGTGAGTGTGCAGAGAGGGTCTTCAAGGATGACAGAAATACTAATTTATTTAAAACTATTCCAACCTGCATAAATACGTGAATCAACGTAATTGTGCTTTCTCATTCTCCACCCCAGTGCCCTCAATCTCTCTTCTCCTACCATAGAAATTGTTCTGTAACTTGAGTTTTAAATATATCATCTAGACTTTTCAGTATTTGTCAGTATATATTAGATTTAACTCATACTTTTTTCTTCTTAACTTTTTCTTTTGAAATAATTTAGACTTTTCAAAAGAATTGTAAACATAATACAAAGAATTCCAATATACTTTTCACTCAGATTCCCCAAATGTTGGTGTTTTACCACAATTACTTTATCATTCGTCCTCGCCTCTTCCTCTCTTTATGTATATGGCATAGACCCATGGATTCTTTTTTATTCTAAGGGTTATCATACATCACTATGAATATTAATCTTGTGGCTAAAGTTGTCCTAGATTTGGCTAGGGGGAGCCTGTTAAAGCTGGCTCTTGTGTTCTTTTGTTATATCACTTTGTGTACTTTCTGGCACGGCAAGATGTTCCAGGCTCATATTATACTTCCCTTGCTGTAACACTATAATCAGCTGTTTCTC